CCATGATTGGCGGGAAAGGGGAGGCTAAGCTGTTTGCTAGGGTGCTTAGGTGTAAAGCGGGTAGGTTCTCCATGAAGTAATTGGGATATATCTCTAGGGGTTAAATATAAAGACACTACTTCTTGGGAACCAATTGTGGAATTATTTGAGAGAGAACTTGCAGGGTGGAAGCGTAACTTCCTCTCAAAGGGTGATAGATATACTTTAATCAAAAGCACTTTGGTTAACCTTCCGATCTATTATCTTTCTACTCTTTTGATACCAACAAAGGTGGCCGAGAGACTAGAAACAATTCAATGCCGCTTCCTTTGGAGGGATGTTGACGGGAAATGCAAGTACCATTTGATAATGTGGGAGGATATTAAAAAACCCCATTGTTTGGGTGGACTTGGCATTAAATCTATGGTGAAAATGAATGATGCTCTACTTGACAAATGGTTGTGGAAGTACATGATTAAGGATAAAAGGTTGTGGAGGAGGATTGTGGAGGCTCGTTGGGGTGATCCTAATACGATTATGAGAAGTAGACTCTCTACTCCGCATGACAGAGGCTTATGGCAGAAAATCTTATCTCTTTGGCTCCAATTCAGTCTGTGCTCACAATATAAGCTGAGGAAAGGTAATAAAATCAAATTTTGGACTAACGAGTGGCTGGAGAGGGGTAGTCTCAAAAATTATTTTTTGAGGATCTTTTCTATTGCCTAATCGACGAACATGGTCATTGAAGATGCGTATCAATGATCAATGGTAATGTAATTTGGGACATTAAAGTTGTAAGAAACTTAAATGATTGGGAAAACAGTAATTATGCGGAGATTTTTAAGGTGTTATATTCACAACAAATCTCTTCATCTCCTGAAAATTTGTTTGCAAATTAGGAGTCTGAAAGATTCTTGATTAGTTCCTACTACAACTTCTTAATGAAGGATATTACGGTGGTTCATTGGAACTTCCTTTACAAACAAATCTGGAAAACGAATATCGCTCAGAGGGTCGCTTTCTTTGCGTGGGAAGCCTGTTGGGAGAAGATTCTCACAATTGATAAACTCAGAGCTAGAGGTCAGATTTTTGTGAACGGGTGTTATATGTGTTTGATGGCTGAGGAGTCCTGTAATCATCTACTGCTTTGGTGCCCTGTGGTTTGGGACCTTTAGTGTGTGATCTATGGGTTGTTAGGGATTCAATGGGTGATGACGGGCTCAGTCCATGAGGAAATTTGGGCTTGGGATGGGCTATA